CCGCCTCTGCCTCTCCCTGTCCCAATTCCAGGCTCATTCCCCTGGGCTGAGACCTTTTGGGCTTTGGATTTCCGACCTCTGCCCCTCCACAGGACGAGAAGCTTCCCTCCTCCTGCCCATCTCCTTCCTCATTTCCTTCACAGCAAAGAAAATAAATACGTAAATAGGTAGATAAATAAAGAATGAGACCAAGGCTTGGATTTGGTCTGGAGGAAATCCATTACCTTCCCAATAATTGTTACTTTTCACTTAAAAAACCACATTAGCTGAGCGACAGGCTGGCTGAACATCTCTGGTCTTTTGCAATTCTTTTTTTGTTTTTCCTGTTGTTTTTTTTTTACAGGATTGAACAGAAAATAATCAGAATCCAATTGTTTTTCACGCAGCTCTGTAATTTTAAATACAGACTTGACTGGTTTAGTTTTTGTTATTTTAATTTGACAAGGTGTAATCTAATTTTTTCCCCTAAAACAAAGAGAACAGCGATGCAAAAGGTGTAAGAGACACAGGCAGGCAGAGATTTCGAGATCAGTACAGCACAGTGTTCCTGCAAAGTGCCCTCTATAGAGAGATAGTCATGTATATACATAGATATATACACAGTTTGGATTTTTTTTTTGATTGGTTTTTTTTTGGGGGGTGGCTTTTTGTATCCATTTCCATTTCCTGATACCCTTGAGAAATCCTTCTGCAGAAACACAGTGAAGTTTTTGTTTGCTTTGTTTGGTTTGGAACTAGAATTTCAGAGCTGAGGACACCCCAAACATGGACAGGGCGCTCCCCCACCCACAGAAATGCTAAAATAACCCTTTAAAATCATCCCAGAACTCTCCATCCCTCAGTTTTAGCACCTGGAAGCTGGGCACTGCAGAGGCAGCTGTACAGCCCAGTGGTGGTTCTGCCTCCCTCCTTCTCCATTAAAGAATTTATCAATCTAGTCTAAAAAGGTATTAAAATTCCTACAGTTTAAACTACCAATGACTGCTTTGACCTTGTGGCTATTTGTTAAATCTCTAGTGCATGTGGAATTATTTCCTTCAACCTCTAAATGGGACTGAAAGGGAAAAAGCTCAGCAATGGTTCCACCTGGAACCAACCAGCAGCTCTGGTCTGATGGCCAAATTACTCATGTGCCAAACTTAACCCAGGCTACAGGCTAAATTATTGCTTAAATTAGTCACATTTTAATCTATTTTGAAGCTTTATTTCCTGAGGTGCTCGGCACACTATCCCTGCCCTTTCTGTGGGTTTTATTTTAATTGATTTCCACTAGTTCAGCTCTTACATGTTTTGCCCTGGCCTGGTTTCATCTTTGGTCTCTCAATGAGCTGAGGTTTTCCAGAGAGCCTTGGGAATGTTCTCAGCAGGGCCTGGGCTTCAGAACCTGGCTGGGGGTGACAAAGCTTGTGCTGATGGTGACAAGCAGCAAAGGCAGGGCCTGAGCAGGCACTGGGCTGCTTTAAATGCCTGCTGAGCCATTCACAGCTCCCTGGGCTGGAAAAGAGCACAGCCACAAGGAGCTGGAGCAGAGAGCAGGAAGGATTATCCCTGCAGCATCCCAACTGCTGCCTTTTGTACCTCCTGACAGGGGCCCACTTTGTGAAAAAGGGGAAAATTCTTCATTCTGCTAAATTCAACCACAAGGCATCCTGTACCGGCATCAGCAGCTCTGCACACCCAGGGGATCTGAAACTCAGCCCCCACAGCTCATCCCTCCTTCCTCTGGGACATGGAGGAGCACAGGGACACGAGGTCCTCACACACAGGGCTCCATCCCAGCCAGCAGCTGGATTTTGGGATCAAACCATAACAATCAAGGTGGCCACCTGCAGCTTCCTAAATTAAGAGGAGAGCTGCAAAATAATCCATTTCCAGGGGGCAAAGCAGCTCTGGCCACAGGCCCAGGCTGAGGGGACACAGGCCCAGGCTGAGGGGACACAGGCCCTGGCTGAGGGGACACAGGCCCTGGCTGAGGGGACACAGGCCCAGGCTGAGGGGACACAGGCCCAGGCTGAGGGGACACAGGCCCTGGCTGAGGGGACATTTGTCCTCTCTGGGGTAATGGCTGAGACCCCACATGGTTTCTGCATACAAACAAAAACACCACAGAGTGCTTTGGGCTGGAAGGGACCTCAAATTCCACCCAGTGCCACCCCTGCCATGGCAGGGACACCTTCCACTGTCCCAAGCTGCTCCAAGCCCCATCCAACCTGGCCTTGGGCAGCCTCTCAAACACCACCATGGGTAGACAGCTCTTCACTTGCAGGATTTTGAATCCATCCTTTCCTGCAATCACTATGGGCCACAAGTCTCTTGGCACTTGTCTCCCTGGGGATACAGAGAAGCATCCAAGGAGACTTTTGAAAGCCAGGTGAGCCCATAAAAACCAGGATTCCCACCGAGGTGCTGGCGTGCCCCTAGAGCTGCACCCATCTTTTCACCAGCCACAGGTGAACCCTGGGCAGGTGGCTCAGCCTAAAGTGCCACACACCTGGGCTGGTGGCAGAGGTCACCTCACCTGCTTCTGACCTGCTTTTGTGGTCTCCAGAAAGAAGCTTCTGCCTCTGCCCTCTGTTAGCACTCTGTTATTCTGGACCATGGCATGATCTGAGCTGCAATAACACACAAGGCAAATCCTGCACCAATAATTTCAAGCCCATGCCCACGGTTTGGGTTGGAAGGACCTTAAAGCCCATCCTGTTCTCCCAGGACACCTTCCACTAGACCAGGCTGCTCAGAGACCATAACTTTAACAAACCACACAACCTCTTCTAGCCAGGTATCAAGTCTCTATTTCCTCACCCAGTGTCATTCCAGCCTATCATGATTACATCCCGTTTAGCTTTAGTTTATTGTTGTTGATGTCATTATCTTTATTTTTATTGGCTCTTAAGGAAGAATTTAATCTTCAAGCCTTCTCAGATCACAAGAGATTCTTAGCAGCAGCAGTGCAGTTTGGCCATGTTAGAAATACTTTATAAAAGAGAAAATAAACAAATAAAAAATAATGGTGTATAAATCCCTTTTTAATTGCACCTAAATCCTGAAACTCAAACTCCTAGTCATGAAGGAAAATCCTGTAATTAGGAGTGATTATCACCTTTTAGTCCTAGGCAGGAGGGAGGTGGGATGGGAAAACCTTATTTCAAATGCTATTCCTTTTTCTTTTTTTAAATAGAACAAGCATTTTTTTTCTTTTTTTCCTTTAAAAAGAGCCTTGAGACTCAGGGATGTTTTTTTGGCTATTGTTGGCATCCAAGTCAGAAGAGCCACAGCTGGTCTCTTCCCAGAGAATTCTCAAGAGAGCAGCATTTGGGAGTGGTACCCTGGTACCTATGGGGAGGGAGGAGACTCAGAAGGGGAGGGGAGAATACCAGCACTGAGGGTCCGAGCACTGAAATCTCAGCATTTTAAGAAAAAAGAGAAGGACAGACAGAGAGAAAGAGAGAGAGAGAGAAAGAGAGAGACAGATACTGTGTCAATACTGCACTGGATTTCTCAAAAAATCACACAGCTTTAATACCTGTGCCCTAGGAAAGCCACTCCTTTGGTAGCTGATTGAGAGGTGGGGACTGGCAGGAGAGGGAAAGGCATAGCCAGGGAAAGGGCTGGCATTCTGCACAGGGGAAGCACCAAGCACCACTGGTACCACTGACACACTGCAAACCCCCTGTTCACTCTCCCATGTGCCTCACCCGCGCGGGATGCACACATGGGAGGCAACAGAAGCTTCTTGGGGATAAACAGGGAGATGAGAAGAGGGAAAAGAGGCATTTTCAGCTCCAATGTCACTGGCCAGATTGCTGGTTGCTGCTTGCAATAGCTGCAGCTGCCAGATGTGCCCCGGCACTGCTGCAGTGCCTGCACAGCTGCACTTCTCCTTTAGGAAGGAGGCTCTGCCTTTGCTGGGCTGGGTTTTGAGGTGCCTGCACCAGGCAGCAGTGGGTAAATCCCAGAAGGGAGCAGGACAATGGGGAGAGGCAGAGCCAGGAGGCAGCTGCCCTTCCCTCCCAGCCCTCCCAGGACGAGGTGTCACCTCCTCCACGGGATTCTGCCTGGGGCTGGGGCTCTGCTTGCACTCGAGGGTGCTTCAGGAGAGAGCAGAGTGGGATTTGGGATCAGCAGCTCTCTGTCAGTGCCCTGCTGGCCTGACAGCTCCTGGTGTTACTGGAGGGAACTGGGCAGTGACCAGTGAGCGAGCTCCCATGGCTGGGGAAGCCTCTGGAGCAGGGTCAGGGCTTTTCTTTGTGTGAACAAGAGCCACACCGCAAGAAATAAATAAACAATAACGTGACCCAGGGTCTGCTCTAACTCTTGGAATGACCCCCTGGGTTCTCACCATCTTTTCCACTTCCCAGATCCCTCCCTCCCCCAAAACAAAGGCTTGTCCCAAATAGCAGGGCTTCCATGGACAGGCGTTAGAGCTGTGTGACTCCTTTCCTCCTGCAGGGATTGAGGAGTTCAGTTACCACCGGGTGGGCAGGAACACTGGCTTCTCACAATGCGTTTGGAATAAACTACAGCACAGCATAACCAATCAAAACAGAAACAGGAAATCAAGAGAAAGCAAAAAACCCAAACAGAACCAAAAATTTGGAAAGTAAGAGTAAATCCACTTCAAAGAAACCAGAATTGTAGAACGGAAAAGAAACGATACATATTTATATATCGAAAAAAAGAATTCATAATTTAAAAAGTGGCATGCAAAGAAGATTGTTACATTCTCCTATCATGCATCAGGCCCAATGTCCAAACGGCAAGGTAACCATGACGACAAAAAAGTGCAAGAACTCAGCAACATTACCAAAGGATGCATAGAGAGGCCCACAATGCAACTCAACTCATCTCCGTGAGACCCGGGAATGCGCGGGTCTCGCTCATCTTAAAGATTTCTTGCTTTTTCTCTTTTCATTTTTTAAATTTTTTTTTTCTTTTTTTTTTTCTCTTACGAATGTAAAAATGTGGGTAAAGAAAGTAAAAAAGAAAAAAACCACACCAACCTTCTCGTAGCTCTGAGGGATGTTAAGGGGGTTTGATGCGGAACACAATGACATGAGGAGAAGAGAAAAATAGGGGAAACACAGAGAGAGTAAAAAAAGGCCTTCTCAAGGCTGTCAGCTGCAAATTGATTGATTTTTTTTTTTCTCTTAACCGAAATAAAAAGAAAGGAAAAAAAAATGAAGATAGTAACGACCCTCTTTCCTGCCTTCCTAACGCTCCCCCTCCCATCCCTTTAAGCCCAACCAAGCTCCGCAGGGAGGCCAGGCTGGGAGCAATCCTAGCTCAGGGTCAGCCCCACAGGGGTGCTGAGCCCAGGCAGGATTCTCCCTCCCTGCAGTCCCTCTGCTCCTCGGAGAACGGGAGCGGAGCCCCCGGGCAGAGCAGCCCCCCGGCCCCACACCCAGCCCTGCTCACTCTGCCTCCACCACGGGACTGAATAAGGAGAAACAGAAATAATTAGAAGAAGGAAAAAGAAAAGCAAAAAACCAAACCAAACCATTTCCTTGCAATGTTCAAACTTACAACTCCTATCCCAGGTGGTCTATAGAGACAAGCATGTTATGGGAGAAACAAGTCAATTGGAAACACAAGAGTGCTCGAGACTCTTTTAAAACAAAACAAAACAAAAAAAAAGGGAAGAAAAATGTGCATGAACTCTCCCTCCCACCAAAGCAAATCCATTTCAGAAATTTGTTACCTTTCCACGATATTAACACACAAGAAACAAGGAATTAAACAGCATGAAAAACACCCAAACCACAGGCCGAGCTGGCACACGCTGTGTTCTGCACTCTCTCGGCAGGTTAGTGCTGGTTTGCAGGCAGGCCCAGGTACACACGGCCTAACTGGGGTAGGAACAGGGCTATCACCACCTGGAGCCCTCTCATCCAGGTGTGGAGACAACACCGTGTTACAACCTTTGTCTCCTGGGTAGTTTCCGAGTGGCCAGAAAAGTAGAGGAAATTTAGAAACAAAACAATAATGAAAAATCCCCACATTTTTCCTGTTTCTTTTCTTTTTAGTCTTTTTTTTTTTTTTTTAAAAAGAACCCAAACCATTCCAGCTAAGCTGTCTGCAATGGATTCAGCCCTGAATTAGTATTGGATCCAGATAGACACTCCCAAAAGTGGAGTTTCGGGGGCCCAGGCGACAGGGCAAATTTCAAACGCAATTTTCCAGCTGGCCACAAAAGGCTATTTAAAAATTTAGCTTGGAAACATTAAATTATTAAAAGCCTTCTCTCCATGTGCATGTGATTTAGTGAGCGTGAGACACGAGAGAGAGAGAAAGAGAGAGAGAAAGGAGTGCACACAGGAGCATGGCTCTGCATTGGACTGCAGATTAACGTGAGTGTAGGTGGGAGGCGCCTCCTCTGTCGATGGGATGGAAATGGGAACAGTTTGCTGGGATGTAACTTTTCTTTTTTTCCTCCCAACGGCATTTTTCTTTTTCTTTTTTAAAATTTATTTTAAATCGAGAAGGACCAGCCCTGCTCTCTCATTACCAAAAGGGCTTTTGCTGTGGAAAGATGTTAAACCGAAGCTACACACAAAATATTACAGGTCAGAGAGATTAAAATAAGAGAAAGTGGAGAGGCTGTTGGCCCAGGGGGTGGGAGAACATCGAGGGGACATGGAGCAGAAGCCAATCCCCTGTCATCTGTTCCCCTGCTGCGGGGTGAAGGGGGCTCAGGGATGGCTGCTGGTGTCCCCAGCTCTGTGCCCAAGGAACCAGGGGCAAATTACTGCTGGCAGAGGGAAAAGCAGCTGGGACTGAGGGCAGCAGTGCCAATGCACCCTCCTGCTGCAATCTGGGGGCATCCAGGGACACAGAGGGGTCCTGCCCTCCTCTCACAGCCACAGCAGCAGCGCTGAGAGCAGGGATGCTTTGGGAGGAAGGGCAAATCCCTCTGGGGCCGAAGGGATTCTCTGCAGGCCGACCTGGCACATTTTGGGGCGCGCTCTTTGACTCGGCCATGGGTGAGCCAGCCCTGCAGGGATTCGGGGGCAGCGGGGACCCCCCGAGCTGGGGAGGGCTGGGATGGGCCAGGAGGAAGAGGAGGAGGAGGCTGAGTGCCGGTGAGCCGCTGTGCTCCCTACCTCTCACGTAAAGGTTAGCGGGGGACGAGTAGCGCACCCCGGCGCTGTTGCTGGCCACGCACTCGTACTTGCCCTGGTCCGTCTCCTCGCTGCTCTCGATCTGCAGCCCACCTGTGAGGGGACAAGACACGGCAGCACAGACACATCATCAGCCTCTGCTGGGTCTTCTTCCTCCCCCCGGGCTCACGCACGCCGGGACGGGAGCACGGAGCCCCCGCGGACCCGACACGGTGAGAAAATGAAATTCTCCCTCTGTGGTGAGCGTTGCTCTTTGTCCTGAACTCATCAGCAAAGGCACCAAGTTTTTGTGGCTTCTGCAATGCAGGCGTTCTGCACCAGAACTCCCGAAATCAGCCTCAATAATCCATATTACTGTGATCCCCAGAAATCCATCAGCAGGCAGTTGACTTTCCCTTGCTCAATTTGAAGCAGTGACCATAAAAGTGAAAGGCTTTGTCACCCACTGCCTGGGGAATTTCTATCGCTGCTGCCTTTGTTTTGTGCCCAATACCTGCTCCTCAGGAAGCCTGCTAGAGATAAGAGCCCCTGTGAAAAGCACCTTACTGATAGTAAATATTCCCCAGGGAAAACCCTGTAAATACTGCATTGGAACTTCAAAATTGCCTGCATGGTTTACATCATCTGGGCCAAAAGGATTAAGGCTTTTCTTAAACTTGTATATTATTGCAGGCTACAAGAATATACCCAGAGCCCAAACTAAAGATTCCTGTCAGCAAATATGCAGAGAGATGCAGCATGGAACTACATGGAAGAAAATTGCCTCATTTACCTCAGAAGGCTTCATCCCTGCAAAACTCCAGTTAAAATACATACTACATAAATAATTCAACAGGCTCTCAAATGTTTTATGTATTAGGAGTACATGATTATACTACAGATATGGACAGAGCTCACATGTGGTAAGACTCTTAACTCCCATCTCTGGAAAAAAAAAAAAAAACCCACCTAAATATGAAAACCAAACAATTCCAGCTCAGTGTAATAGTATTGATAAAATCTTAAGTGAGAGGAGTGCAAATGAGATCATTGTTGGTTGCAGATAGAGCCTTTTCAGGAAGGAAAAAGCAGTGTGCTCACAGAGGAGGACACAGAGCTCACGTTCCTCTGCGTGTGCGTGGGTGGGAACGATGCTGGTGGGGGGACGTGGGGCTGGGAGAGCATTTGGGACAGGGCTGGGGTGTGAGTGCAATTCCCCACAGCATCCCCTGTGCCTGGGGGCTCTCCCAAAGGCAGAACAGAGGGAATTAAACCCCAAAAAACCCCACCCAGAGCAGAAAACCAAACAAAACCCATTCCAAAAGAATCTGCGGGTATTTCAGCACAACAGGAGTTAAAACCCAGACTGGCTGGAGCTTCCCACTGGGCACCCAGCTGAGCATTTTTCATATGGAATTACAGCTCCAACTCTGCTGTTGGAGAGCTCCACTTGGGTGGAAAGCTGCTGGTGAGTTTTCCCAGAAATTTCTGTTAATTTGGACAAATCTGTGGGTTGTTTCCATCGGTTCCTGATCCATTTTCTGTGCTGCTCATGAGCATCACTGGTCTGAGAGTACCCAGGGGAGGTGAAGCCTCACTCCAGAGCAGGAAGGGAACCAAGGACTGCAGGGAGCAGCTTTCCCTGGGGAACAGGGACTCACCCCTCCCTCCCTGCCCACTCCTCACCCCTGCTGGTCAAGGCAATGGCAGAAATGAGGCTGCAGAGAGGGTGAGGAGTGTTCAGCACTCGTCAGGAGCCAACGGACACGATGTGTGAAAACGTAAATCTCACCTACAGCACCTCCTGTTGCTTTTACCAGCAGAGAATTATGGAATTCTAAATGTGCCAGTGGAGATAAAAACCAAAGCAGGGTCTTCCAAGGGGTGCACACCCAACCCCTCCTGCCTTTCAGCTTGAGGTCAATTTTGGACTCCATTAAAGAGACAGTGCAGAAGCTACTTACCGTGGATCCTTCCCAGAGAAACCTAAGGGTAAGAGAGTGGGGAGGAAGTGGAAAGAGGCTCTGGAGCCAAACAAATGAGTGGGCTGAGATGGTAAGTGCTGAAGATCTGCCTGAGCAAAGGACTGGAAAAACTCCCATCACCATCAGCAGCTCGGGAGCACTTTGCACCAATCAAGAGAAAGTCCTAAGTATTTACCAAGCTTTGAGAGCATTTAATGCTCGAGATAAACTTCAGTCCTTCATAGTCCTGGAGAGATTAGCTCTTAAAACTCTGCCATAAATCTGAGGCAGCACAGCCGGAGACGTTATTAGAATAACAGGATCAGTATTACTGTGCACCCAGCAAACAAAAAAGGACATTATAACCATAGATAAAATAAAGACAGGTATAAAAAAGAAATATCCAGAGGTGAAGCAGGACAAGGAAACGTAACAACAACACGGATCTGTACTGAGCAGAGGGCAATGAAACGGGATCTGTGTGGAGAGAAGTGTTTGGAGAGTGGGTGAGTGAGTGAGCTGGGGGTGTCTTACCTCGGATCGGTGTACCTTCTGCAAAGAAAACAAAGAAAATGAGTGAAATGACTGCAAAACCCCAAACACCTGCACTGCCCGTGGGAAAAGGACCTGAGGCAAGGAAGACAGTTCCCAGTAGGAAACTTCTTGGTCTGTCTCAAATTACAGGGCACTGAAGAGGGCTTGGGATACTTTAGTGGGGTGTCCTTTCCAGCAGCCCAATCCAGCTGGCTGTTTGCAGAGCCTCCCATGGCTCTTGGCTTCAAAAGGCCTCAGACTGGCTCCATTTTGGTGCAGGAATGTCAAGAAACCCCTCAGGCTCTCAGCTAACATCCCTATCTGCTACTCACTGAACCCATTTACCTTCCCCACTCCTGGGGACACAGGGCTGTGCTAGCCCAGGCAGGGAGAGGGACGCGTGGGCACCTTGCAGCACGTTAATCTGCAGGTTTGGTCCCACCTTGGCTAGCCCCAAACTTCAGCTCTTGGCCCAGATGTGTGAGCTCAGTGCATGTGCTGCTCAGGACCTCTGGCCATCCCTCAGGGTGGGCACTCAAGAGGTGACAGGGCTACCTGGAACCTCCCGCAGTGGCTCTGGAGCCACCCTGATGCCAGTGTGGAGAGAAGAGCCCTGCTGCTCTTGTCTGCTGGGTTATTTTATTCCAAGCCTGCTGGCTGCCTCTCCTTTGGGTTATTTCATTCCAAGCCTGCTGGCTGCCTCTCCCCTGGGTTATTTCATTCCAACCCCTCCTGCTGTCTGTCAGTGCCCAGCCCCGGGCAGGGCTCCCAGGTGGGAGGGAGGGAGTGACCATCAGGGTAAAACCCCTGTCCCCCACCTGGGCTGGCAAGCAAACCATCTTCCTTTGAAAACACGGCAGGTCCTTTTGCTCACAGTGGCATTCAGAACTTATCAGAGAAGGGGGTTTAGCTGGTGGGTTTTTTACCCCAATCCTGAGAACAGGGCAGATCCCGCAGGGCCAAGTTCTGCCTCTCGCCAGGGAGGGAAGCACGAGCTCCTCTGCAGTGGTGACACTGCTGCCACCCTGCAGCGCTGCCAGCCAGGGCTGCAGAGCACCTTAAATGACAAACACCAGCCTCTCACCTCTCCTCTCCCCTGGGGAGGAACAGCAGAGCTGTGATCCTGATTTACACACGTGGATAACTGAGGTAGAGGTGAAGCAACTTGCCCAAGGTCACGGAGGGAAGACTGGCAGAGGCAGGAACAGGAGTCAAAGCCTCCCCCGTGCCAATCTTCTGCCTTAATCACCAAAAACCCCTTCCCTCCTTATCCTTCAGCCCTGCTCATCCTTCTGCTGGGATTCAATCCTCCATTCTCAGGATAGGAGGTAAAAATATACAGATACTAAGTAGAGTTCACCTTTATTTTTCAAAGGAGCTAAGGGAACAGAGGCATTATAGTGTTAGGGATTAGACTCTAGTTAGACTCAGCTTCTAGTTATGAGGTTAGGTTATTAGCTAGAGAAAAGTTAGCATCTAGTTAGGGTTAGGAACTAGCTAAGGTTAATGAAGCAGGTTGTTAGCTCTCAGGACAAAGGTTGGAGAGACAGCGCTTGGAAGAGGTGGGGGAGCATGGCCTTGGGCAGACCCCCACCCAGGAGGTGGCAGGAAGGTTTAAAAAGCAAGAGAGAGAGAGAAAGCAGCAAAAGGTTATAGATCAATTCAGTGGAAATAAAAACAGCCTCTGATACATCCTTCTGTCTCAAAATTGGAGTGAAAATCTGCCATCTGTGGCACCAATATGGAACAAGGCTAATGGGGAGAGGCTAGAGAAGGGGAAGAGATCCCAACATCACCCATGGCTCAAAAGCTTCTCTGGCCTTGGCTAAGCCTGGCAGTTTCCTGCACAAAATTCACTCTAATTGACAGCAGAAACATGCTGGGAGTTCGAGCTGTGCAAGCCCAGGCACAGGATCAGCACTGCCCTGGTGTCACTGCAGGCTGTCACTCCCTGAGCCCCTGGGATGGGGCTGCCAGAGCTCTGGGGACAGCCTGGCCTGGGCACAGCTCTGGGGGAGCAGGCAGTGCCACCCAGCTCTAACCTGGCACACAGGGAGGGGCAGGACAGCTCTGGGATGAGCCCCACACCAGAACTGGGGTGAAATGGGCTCGGGCAGCACTTTGGGCGGGGTGCAGACACAGATGGGAGATTTTCACTGCTGGAGTTTCACATCTAACCAGCTCCATGGTCAACACAGGGGCAGCAGGAGGGTGCTGGAAGAGGATGTGCACTGGATTAATTATTCTGAGGGACTCTGACAGGCCCTGGAGGGTTTGGTATGGGGATGCAGGGCAGGCAGTCCATACCTGGTGTGCTGTACAGGGCAGGAGCACCTGCATGAGGCTGCCAGTGAGGGCACCTTTGCAGGACTACAGAGGAACAGCTCCCACTGGATGCTGACTTTGGGAGTGAAAAGCTGGTTCTGAGATGCTCCCTGCAGCCTTTTCACACTGCCTTGCACAGCCTCCCTGGATCTCCAGATCTGCCTATCTAGGGCACATTTTGAGGCTGCGTGAGCCCAGATGGCCAGCCCAGGGTTCAGCAGCAGAGGCAAAAGGCAGATGAAAGGCCTTGCCTCTGGATTGTAAAGGCCCAGGATGGTGCCAGGCAGAAGT